CAGAAAAATTTATTCTTCCTTCTCGAGTCATTTCTTTTCGTGTAGAATAATACCTGACAGTATTAATTAATGGAAGAATTCTTAACAATCCCAAATCTACGAATCAGAGAAAACTAACTGTTTTAAATTAAAAGAGACAAAGAGATAAATAGTTTATACAATTGAATTGTCACACAGCAGTTCTAGTTCTCCTCTTTGTTACTAATCTTCCAATTTCTCTCCCTCCGTCTACACAATGGGAGCTCGAATTAGTATGACAGGCGAATTCAAACAGCAAAAAGAACAAATAAACACGCATATAAATATGGAGTTCCATTTATAATCTTCATTACTCTACGATTCTCTTTTAAAAAGAAAAAGAAAAAAAAAAAAGAAGGGAAGAAGACGAATATACACAACCTGTTGATTCTATCAGAAGCTGACGTCATTAATTGATCATTAATCTTGTCGCGAGTCAATTAAAATGGTTACGACGCGTGTATTCGACGATTTGTTGATCAATTGCTACAGTGGTGGCTTTTGTAGCGAGACGGTGCAACTTTTTTCATGCTGTCGATACTTCGGCAAACTATTAATTACTGGCTGGTGAAACGGAATTGTACTACTTTGCCCGCGGTTTCCTGCAGCTCCCGGAAACTATTCCGTGCTCTATCCGTGCGCTCTCGCGTTTATCGATTATCCGCGGGACGATTCGTCGCTAGGTCACAAATATTCATCTGTCTGAAAAATCGCGAATATTTCCACTTCGTTTTTTTTTTTTTTTTTTTTTTCAGTTCGTCCCTCCATCCGGAACGAATATTTATTGGAGATTGGACATTTGATTGTTCATTGTTACACTTGTAACTGGGATGCGGAATTTACGTATTTTTCGTGGAAAATTAGGGTGTTTAAAAATGAAATATTTTATTATTATATTGTAGATAATAGAATATTATGTATAACAGAATATTTACTATAGAATATAATAGAATATTTACTGTTATATATAATAAATAATAAATATATATAATATTATACATAATATTATATATAATAGAATATTTACTATAATAGAATATAATAGAATATAACTATTATATATAATAAATAATAAATACATATTATATATAATATTATATTTAATAGAATATTTACTATAATAGAATGTTATATATACTGTTATATATAATAAATAATAAATATATATTATATATAATATTACATATAATAGAATATTTACTATAGAATATAATAGAATATAACTGTTATATATAATAAATAATAAATATATATTATATATAATATTACATATAATAGAATATTTACTATAATATAACTATTATATTATACATACTATTATATTATACACAATAGAATATTTTAAAATATTCAAAGCAAAGTACATTATAATTTATGAAACATTTTTCTTCTTTTCTATTTCTATAGTGACGTTCGTAACAATTTTCATATATGTTAAATTCGTGCCCTATTTACAAGCTATTATTTTTCAATTCAGATTTGTTCATTCTTATTCGTTCTATCATCACACCTCACCTTTGTTTCCAACTTTGTATTTTATTATTTATTATTTTCTTCATAAAGAGGATTACTCACATTATCATTCTTTTCATTAATTATTATTCTATGACACGAGTATCACTCTCATTCGTTCAATTTTTGTCAAAATTAATTTTCTATCATTTCTATTTCTTCATTAAAAAATAAATTTGCCCATTTTTTTGATGAATTGTTTTCTTTCTCTCTCTCTCTCTCTCTCTCTCTCTCTCTCTCTCTCTCTCGAATAATTTTACGATAATATTTTCACAGATAATATCTAAAATTTGAATTTTCATTGGGAGAGAATATATTCGTTTCTTCTTTAATTACCTTTTCGCGGCCAATGTGCCGCGTTGCATATAGAGATACAGTCATTAGGAACTAGTAACGGAGGAATTCCGAAACGATTTCTCCGAGTTGTTATTCTTCATTATTGTTAGAATTTTTTTTCCCAAGGGAAATATCGCGTCAGTAAACGTGCAGGAATTTCGATGACGTTTATCGTTCTACGTAGAGTTTGTATAAATCACTAATAATAGACTCAATTTGATATCGTACATAGCAGACACGTACTATATATACATACATACATATATTGTTCCGAAATAGGAGCTATACTTTGATCGACAATCGAAGGAAGAAATTAATATCTGTTTGAGTAATTCAACTAATCGAAACGACCAGTTCAGTATAAAATTTTTCATAAAAAGATTGTCTATAAAAATATATATGAAGACTCGTATCTTTATCATTGTTATTTACAATTTTAATTTTATTTAAAATTATTGTTCTTCTTATTATACTTTATGCTGAATTATTATTCTTTTATTTATAGTTTGTTTAGAAAGAAATTTTTATGTGCAGAAAAAAAGATTATACATACATAAACATAAATATGATTCATTCTTTGAATAAAATTCTTATATATTTGAATAAAATATATAGGAATTTATTAAGATATAATTCCTATGTATTTGAATAAAATGTATAAGAATTTATTAAGATATAATTCTTATGTATTTGAATAAAATATATAGGAATTTATTAAGATATAATTCTTATGTATTTGAATAAAATATATAGAAATTTATTAAAATATAATTCCTATGTATTTGAATAAAATATGTAGGAATTTATTAAGATATAATTCTTATGTATTTGAATAAAATATATAGAAATTTATTGAAATATAATTCCTACGTATTTGAATAAAATATGTAGGAATTTATTAAGATATAATTC